CAAGGGGACTTAAAAAGTTTCCTGATCAAATAAAATGAAAAGAAATTGGAAAAATTCCATGAACTTCTTGAAGCTCTCTCATGAATATATTGTTTACTAGCCATTTTGGAAACAGAATAGTCATTATATGGAACAGAGGTTTTGGACATTGGAAATGTGCATTTTATTATCTAACACTAAAATACCTAAAAGCTCTGGGAAAGATCTTGATTTTATATGCGTAATTGTATCTGTGTGTGTTCACAAAGAATATTTGAGAGCAAGAAAACTTTTAATAATGGATTTACTGAAGCAAAACACACACACACACACACACACACACACACACATATATATATAAATTAATGTTCCTGCTTTTCTGGCTGGCTACTAATGCTACTCAAAACCAAATTCACTGCCCTCAAGTGGATGCTAACTCATAGTGACCCTATAGGATGGGGTAGAGTTGCCACTGTGGATTTCTGACGCTAACTCTTTACTGGAGTAGAAAGCCTCATTTTTCTTTCATAGAGTACCTGATGATTTAGAACTGCTGATATACAAAACAAACTCATAACCATTGAGTTAATTCTGACTCATAGCAGCCTGTAGGACAGAGTAGGACAGCCCCTGTGGGTTTCTGAGGCTGTAAATCTTTATGAAGCAGAAAGCCTCATCTTTCTCCTAAAGAGTGGTTGGTGGGTTTGAACTGCTGACTGTGTGGTTGGTTATCACTCTAATATTTAACCCACGACACCACCAGACTTTTCTTTAAAACCTTATTACATATATGGCATCTATCTGAAGGTCACAAATAATAATAATAATAATAGCCATTATTAAAAAGTACTACCACCATCACCCTTTCACAACCCAATACTCTTTACTATGTCTTTAACAAGTATATGTAGGTAGCACGCTTCAAGAACTCAGCAGGAGTAGATACTCTTTCCTAAGTTTAAGAAAATATGAAAACCACAAAGAATGCTCACAATGATGTTTTCATGGTTGGCCGAGAAGATGCCTTTCTTTGGGGGGAAATGCCTTCAGCCCACACAGAGCCATATTCATTCAAAATATATTGTTTAGCAAGTGTTCAGAGTCCAGATTGTATAAAGTTTACTTGCCGTGCAAGCATCACGCGTTTCTAGGAGACGTTTATAAGCAAAGTGGAGCGGGAAGATAGAGAGAGGACAAAGTGCTAGAAGAATCTACTCTACCAAAACCAAGAACAGTTTCAGAAACAACCGTCAAGTACAGTGAAAGGAAACCTACCAACGTGGATGTGATGTTTTTCTCGGGGTCATTCAGAAGCACCTGGCAGGCTTTCTAAGGAAATTGTCAAATCAATCTGTAGAATATGGATGAGGTGAAACACAGAGGTAGAGTATTATTCCAAATCATCTGTAACTTTTCAAATGCAGCCTTTGTGTTGAAATTCCAGGGAGAATGGAAAGGACTCAATGAAGTAAACTGTCAGTCAGAGTGATTATTATTTCCCTGTGCCAAGCACTGTTCTAGTCAATATGAAATGATACAGAATAAGGAGAAGCCAGTGCCCTTGTACACAGACAGCAAATCTCTGTACATGCAGACACAAACCTACACACATACACTTAGACCCTCTGTCGGTGGGCAGGAAACTCAACTACATGAATAATCCCGATAAGAAACATTAAATTTGTAAAACTCGAGGGACTGGGGAATAACAGCTTTGTTAGAAATACATTCATATAGATACATCAGATATGAACTTCAAATAGCAAATATTTGTTACAATAGATTGCTCTGGAGAGATCAGGCATGCAATTTAAGGCACGTTACAGTATAAAATTTGGGATCCTTCCCACTTTAGTAGCCTTTGCTGTGCAAACATGCATTCACACTGATGTCAATGAACTGCTAAAGGAATACAATAGTGAGGCTTGTGTCTTCTAAACTATAAATTCCTTCAAGTCAAGGGCTGGGTCTCATGCAGCACCCTGCAGATAGAAGTGGTAAAGGAGTAAAAACTGAAAGATTAGGACAGGTAGGTAAAGGTCTTAAAGAGAAGCTAAATCCATTAGGATTTTGAGGAAGAGAAGAAGAGAGGAGAGGAGGGGACTGGAGGTGGGGAGGGGAAGGGAGAAAGAAGGGAAGAGAGAGATAGAGACAGAGAGACAAAGAGAGAGAGAGACTTGGAAAGCAGGAGGATTTGGTTGGTTGGCCCAACTGTTCAAATGTATGAAGCCTTGACATTTTCAACATGATGAATGAAGGGTCAGCTTCGAGTTTAAGGATCATTGTTCTCCTGATCGCATGCCCTTGAACAAGCATCACCACTGCGTTGTTTACAGGGAGGTTCCAGCAGCTAGTCTTAGGTTCTCAAAAAGTTATTTACGATCCGCCCCTATTTCAGCAAGCATCTTGAGGCTGTATTCTTCGGTCCAAACTCTTATCCTTCAGTCAACTCTCTTGTTGTTTGCATTGACATGCTTCATAAGCCTAGAAGGAGGTTAGGTGATATTTCTGATTTGGGAGCCAGGTTCCAACTGCTGGCCTTAGCAACCCAAGCATTTACTTGATACTAATGTAATGCAACGCAACTAGCATGTCAGCAGCGTGAGGGCGGGGCTTTTAGTGTTCTCACGCGGACACATAGTACCGTGCCAGTCATCCTGACCAAGGACTCGCTGCCTTAGAGGGTCTCTCACCACACAGGGTAGAGTAGAAAGTCCTGTGGATTCCCAAGAGAGTCGAAAGCCTCCTCTTTCTGCTGAGTGCCTAGTGGTTTAGAACTGACCTTGCAGTTAGCAGCCCAACGCTTTCATCACCACCCTATCAGGGCTCCTTACACTTGAACCATAGTAGGCTTTAAATAAATACTTGCTTAAATGAATGAATATTATTTGGCAGTTTGCCTTTGCTTTTTTAAAAAAATCCATTCCACTTCTGAGAGTGGAAGCTCCAGGGAAACTTTGGATTGCTCCCCCCCCCCCCACCTTTCTTTCTCCCTCTTTCTGTGCACTTCTCTCCAGCACAGAGGTCCAGGCTAAGCGCTCTCGGAATGGAGATTCCCGGGGCGATTAAGGAGAAGTGAAGGCCACGGTCACAGTGGTGGGGCAGGCACTGGGTCATAGCACTTCTTGCCTCCATGCTTTCTCTACGCCAGTCCTCAAGTGGCCCTTCCCGCGGCACCTCCAGAGCGCGCCAGCACC